TCTGAGTTCGAGGCCAACCTGGTCTACAGAGTGAGTTCCAGGACAGCCAGGGCTACACAGAGAAACCCTGTCTCGAAAAACCAAAAAAAAAAAAAAAAAAAAAAAAGATAGTTAGGGCTGGAGAGATGGCTCAGCAGTTAAAAGCACTGACTGCTGTTTTGGAGGTCCCGAGTTCAATTCCCAGCAACCACATGGTGGCTCACAACCATCTGTAATGGGATCTAGTGCCCTCTTCTGGCTTGCAGGTGTACATGCAAAAAAAAAGAGATAGTTTGCTTTTAATAATTTTCAAAAGTTGTTAGGAAATATTAATTGGCTAAGACATCATCTTAAGCTTACTACAGGAGAACTTAAACTTCTGTTTGATACCCTCAAGGGGAATGCAAATCCTAATTCCCCTGGACAATTAACTGATGTGGGATGGATAGCTTTGCGGAAAGTAGAGGAAGCTATTAGTCAACAACAGAAACATTATACAGACTAGTCGATTGTTGGCTGTTTGTATTATTGCTACTCATGTGCCCACAGAAGTTCTTTGGTAAAAGGGACCATTAATGTGGATTCATCTTTCTTTACCTCCAAGTAAAGTTTTAGCACCCCATTATGAAGCTGTAGCTTTGTTAATACAGAATTGTAGAATAGAATCAAGAAAATATTTTGGGAAAGAACCTGATGAAATATTTATTCCTTATTCCAAACAGCAGTTAAATTGGTTATTGCAGAATACTGATATTTGGCCTATTGCATGTGCAAACTTTTCAGGCAAAATTAATAATCATTATCCAAAAGACAAGTTGTTACAGTTTTCCTCTATACATGCTTTTGTATTTCCTATAAATTTACACATGCAGCCCATAGAAAATGCACTTACTGTATTTACAGATGGGAAGGCAGCATACGTGATAGGATCACATGCTCACTCTCTTGAGTTTCCCCCTGCTTCAGCACAAATAATTGAGCTACATGCTGTGGCTGCTGTTTTTGAAATGCTGAAAAACCAAGCTTTTAATTTGTATACTGATAGCCAATATATAGCTCAAGGTTTACAACTATTTGAAACTGTTCCTTTTTTAGATACTGCTAATTCTCAAATTTTGCAATTACTTATGCAAATACAACTCAATTTAAGAGAATGTACAGTTACTTATTTTGTAGGACATTTAAGAGCTCATACTGGACTGCCTGGACCTCTTAGTGAGGGCAATGCCACAGCAGATTTGTGTACCAGGAAGGTTATAGGGCTTACACAGGAATAGTTAGCTAAACAATTTCATTCTTTACATCATCAAAATAGTAACAGCTTAAGACAACAATTTGGTATTTCTAGAGAATGTGCATGTCAAATTGGAAAGACTTTTCCTGAATGTCCTCAATTTCTTCCTGTACCACATAATGGTGTTAATCCTCGAGGACTTATACCTAATCAATTATGGCAAACGAATGTTACTCATATTTTTGTCTTTGGAAAATTAAAATATGTACATGTGACTATTGACACCTTTTCAGGCTTTCTAGTTACAACTGCTTTAACAGGAGAAGCAACTAAACGTAATTAGTCATTGCCTACATTGTTTTCCTGTGCTGACTGTTCCAAATCAGATTAAACAAATAGAACTGGCTATTACAGTCAAACATTTGAGATGTTTTATCAACAATTTAATATTACTCATATTACTGGGAGTCCTTTTAATCAAGGACAAGGTATTAAGAAACAGGTATTGTGGAACTTTAAAACAATATCTTCGTAAAATAAAAAAGGGGAGTTATATTTCTATATACCACAAATTTTTTTTAAATCAAGTTATTTTATTTAAAAATTTTTAAATTTGAATGCCAAGGAACTCTCTGCTGAGTTTCTATGGCATCCTACAACTAGGCATACTTATGCTTAGGTGAGATGAAAGGATCCACTTACAGGCATATGCCATGATCCAGATCAGGTATTTAATATGGGGAAGAGAGAATGTTTGTGTTTCCTCCATAGGATGCTACAGGAGCATGGTGGTGAGACATGCTGATGCTGGGACCAAGAATGATGCTGACCTGTGTGCTTGCTGAGTGCCCTGACAATGGTGACTGGGGAGCTATATTTGACATAAGTTCCTGACCCACCTTTGCTTGTCTGTATCCCAGATTGGACAAGATGCACAGAGAATCAAAAAGAGAAGTTATAATGACTCTTCTACTTCCTTTAACGTGACCAGTTATTCTGACTCATTCATGGACTGGTCTAGAAATCAATCCAATATTGGAAAATGACAGCCTTCATTTGGAAGGCTGGCTCTGCACATTTTCAGAGACATATTTGGAAGTAAACTGCAGCTCTCTATGATGTTAGCAATAGATAAAGTTGGAGCAGGATCTGGATTTCAAACAAGTGTTAATGTATGTGTTAAGGCTCTTTTAATTGTCATGTTAAAATTACTTTTGTTTATTCTACAGTATTCTATGTAAGTTGTGTTGATTGTACACTTTCTAATTGTGTTATTGTATTGAAACCTGGCATGTCTGTTACGGTGGTCTATCAACCAGCTTTCTTTTATTGCCTGTGAGTATTACATGATCTTGTTATTCTGAAAAACTTGCAAGTATTGGAAGAAGTGAGTCAGGCTTTAAACAGAAGCAAGAGGGTAGTGGGCTTGATTTTTGTTGGTACAGCAGCTTTGATTACATTAACAGCTAGCACCACTGCTTATGCAACTGCTTTGACATAAGAAGTTAAGACAGCTAGGTTTGTTAATCATCTAGCAAAAAATGATACTAATGTTCTGAGTATTCAAGAGGATTTAGATAGATGTTTGGAACATTGATATTTTTTATGATAGTATTCAAATCATTGGAGAGGAGGTTCAGGGTTTAAATGTAAGGAGCCATCTTGAGTGTCATGCCAAATACCAATGGATTTGTGTTACTTCTAAAATTTACAACGAAAGCCACTATAATTGGGAGAAGGTTCAGAGACACTTGCAGGGTATTTGGCATAATTCTAACACCTCTTTGGATGTTTTAGCTTCAAACACTGAGATTATGAATTTAAAGAATGCTGCTCCACTGAGCTTTGATCTAGCAGATACTGCTGATAAAATTATTCATGGTCTGATGTCAGTATTTCCATCTTGGTCAAGATTCAAGAATGGCATATATAACTTGATCATGCTAGCCCTTTTTGTCCTGGGAATACTTTTATTCCTGCTCGCCATGTTAAAGCTTGTCTTTAACAACATCAACATGTTGGCAGCCAAAGTACATGGCTTGAAACTAAAAATAGACCCCCAAAGTTAACAGGCTGGCAAGCCAATGATGGGCAACCTTCTGCAGTGCCTTACCAATCTAAGACATAAATGCATTGCTTTTGATAATGCATATTCAATGACAGGTAAGGGGGGCACTCTTGTCAGAATAACCTAAGACAGGCTCAGTCTTGTTGAATAAAATAAAGGGGGGAAATGTGGAGAGCTTTTGGGGCTGCTTGGCAGGAATCTGACATCGGGCAAGGACAAGCAAGTAAGTTCAGGCAGGAGTCTAATTTTAGGCTAAAACAGAGAAGTAAATTTAGTCAGGGATCCAAGTCTTAGGCTAGAACAAAGAAGTAGGCCTCAGAAAGCCGGGCGGTGGTGGCGCACGCCTTTAATCCCAGCACTTGGGAGGCAGAGACAGGCGATTTCTGAGTTCGAGGCCAGCCTGGTCTACAGAGTGAGTTCCAGGACAGCCAGGGCTAC